ACCCGGGTCCTCTGCAAAAGCAGTCAGTGCTCTTAACCACTGAGCCATCTCTCCAGCCCCATAAATAAAATATTTTTAAAAAGAAATAAAAGGGCTGGAGAGATGGCTCAGCAGTTAGGAGCACAGATTGCTCTTGCAGAGAGGACCCAGGTTCAATTCCCAGCACCCACATGGCAGCTGACAGCGGTCTATAACTCCACTTGCAGGGGATCTGATGCCTTCTTCTGACCTTGGGCATTGCATGACACAGGGGCATTTAACACACATGTAGGCATTACACTCATGCACATAAAATAAAATAAAATAAATAAAATAAAATAAAATGAGGGGCTGGAGAGATGGCTCAGAGGTTAAGAACACTGGTTGTTTTTGCAGAAGACCTAGGTTTGAATCCCAGCACCCACATAGCAGCTAACAACTGTGCATAACTCCACTTCCAGGGGCTCCGAGAGCCTCTTCTGTCCTCTGCTGGAATTGCATGACATGTGTGCACTTACCTCAGACCAGCCTGGCCTTGAACTCACAGAGATCCACCTGCCTCTGCCTCCCAAGTGTTGGGATTAAAGGCGTGCACCACCACGCCCAGCCTGACAATTTTTTAAAAAGAAATAAAAATAAAATTAAGCCCTTAAAGACTCCCATGTGAGCATCTTTTGGGAATCTTTAAGTTCACCTCATGACACGCCTACTAGAATCCACCATTGCCTCTACTGCATGGCCCACTGTACCAGCTGCTCAGTGCAGAACCTGCTGCCTTGGGAAAGAGCTGCCCAAATTCAGCACTGCATCTCACTAAGCTGACCAGCCTATACACTGATCTGTATTCTTCTATTTCTTGGTTTTTTGAGATAGGGTCTCTCCATGTAACCCAAACTGGCCATGAATCAGTATGTAACCCTCAGACTCTACCCCCACCTCCTGTGCTAAGACCACAGGCATGTCAAAGTAGCATCACAGCTTACAACAGCCAAATGGAATTCAAGGCCCTTAGTCAAATTAACTAATATACAGCCTGCTTAAAGCCATTTTAGATTTTTGGAAGTCAGTGGGAACAAGACACATGAAAACAAGAAATGAGGTAAGCGGATCTCTGAGATCAAGGCCAGCCTGGTCTACACTGCAAGTTCCAGGCCAGCTTGGGCTACAGGGAGACTCTTTCTTAAAACAACCAAACAAACAAACAACAAAAAACAAACAAAACACTAAGAAAAGTCATAGGAAGAGATCTCTCAACCATGTCAAGAGTTCCCAGGAAGTGATAACAAGTCTGATCTGGAGAGGAAGATGTATGGAGAATGGGTTGTATCCTAGTTTGTTTCTCCATTGCTGTGACAAAACACTCTGACCAGGTCACAGTTCATCAGTTCATCAGAGAGCCCAAGGTAGGAACTCAGGGCAGGAACCTGGAGGCAGGAGCTGGAGCACAGGCCATGGAGGAACGCTGCTTACTGGCTTGCTCCCCTGGCCCCTGCTCAGCCTGCTTTCTTATACAACACAGGCCCACCTGCCCAGGGGTGGCACCACCCACAGTGGGATGGGCCCTCCCACATCCCTCAACAATCAAGAAAATGCCCCACAGACATGGCCACAGGCCAGTCCAATGGAGGCAATTCCGAAATTGAGGCTCCCTCCACCCAGGCATGTCGACACTAAAGCTGTCCGGCACAGGTTCCCAATCTATGCAGCTCCACCTTCTACCCTGCTCACTCTCTATCTGAGTATTTTCTCATTCCTCCTTAGTGCGTCCCATAGGTTTCTACCATCATCCTGACAGCCTGACCTCGGCCTGAGGAATTCGGTGACTTACCCCAGTAGTGGTAACAAGACATCCAGCCATTAGTCACCTCCTTAACACAGAGAAACCATAACCCCTGAGCTTCCCCAAGCCAACCAGACACACCACAGAGACATTGCTCCACAGGACAAAGGGGGAGAGGGCCTTCAACCCAGACCTGTACACAGTCAACCAGGACAGCAGTCACGATAGCCACATCTACCTTCTGCGGGCTCCAGGAACCAATTTTGCATGTGGCATCTAAGCCTCCTAACTCTGAGGAAGAGACTACCACCTGACACAGCTTTCTTCTCTCCGCTCCTTACCTTCTCAAACGTCTTACTGTATCCCAGGCTGGCTTCAGACTCACAATCCTCCTGCCTCTCCAAGCAAGTTTCTTTTAATATTTATTTTTATGTGTATGATAATTTTGCCAGTATATATATTTAAGTACACCATATGCATGCCTGGTGCCCATGGAGGCCAGAAGGGGGCATCAGGTCCCCTGGAACTGAAGTGACAGACAGTTGTGAGTTTCTATGTGGGTGCTGAGAACTGAACCCAGGTCCTCTACAAGAACAGCTAGTGCTCTTAACCGCTGAGCCATCTCGCCAGCCCTGGAAGCCAGGTTTTTAAGATTAGAAATTTGAGGTACAGAGAGGTTAAGTAATTTAACAAGGGTTGAATAGCACAGTTCTATATACTGTATACTCAGGGTCCCAGTTTCCCACATTGGTAGGACTCAGACCATCAGCTGGCAATTGTCCAAGTTTGTTTCAGCTCTGATTCTTCTATGGAGAGGACAGTAAGTCCTAAGGGGACTTACATGAGACTGCATGCAATCTTTGCCCACCTACCACTTTCTATGTCACCTTAAACTTTAACTGGGAGACACTGCACCAGTAGGAGACACCAGTCAGTTTCCACGTTTTCACAATGAAGGAGAAAATGTGTGAGAGAGGTGTGCTTTGGAGAGGCGAGTTCCCAAGGACCCCAGGAGACAACTGTTAGGGACAGAAAGCACAACTCACCCATTTCTGTCGTACTTCTTGAATACTGGGAACGCCTCCAGAGGGTCTCCAAGCTGTGGAGGGAAAGAGGGGGATGGAACAGAGGTGGGCCCCAGAGCCCTGCTGCCTGGGGTAGGATGCCTCAGGAACTCCCATCGGGAGGCCAGTTGGGGAAAGCCACACAGGGCCTGTGTCTGCTTCAGCTATGAAGTCACAAGGACTTCGGTGGAGGTGTAAGACCACGAAGTTGAGTTGTATTTGCTGGTGAGAACAGCTATCACTGGCCTGAGGGCCCAATGCCTGTGCCCCGTACTAACAGCTAACCCAAAGAAGAGGGAAGCAATGAAGCGGTCTGCTTAAGGACTTCAGCACAAGGCCCCAGACCTGCCTTGCACCCGATGGAAAAGCACATCCCCAAAGGGCATCCTTCCAGAGGATCGGTGTTTATCTATCATGGCAGAGTAACCAAAAGAGAGGTGTGGCATGAGGCAGGAAGGCTAGCAGGGCCGGCACTCCTCAAGCTCTGAAAGCTGTGGCTATCAGGCCATGCCTGGCACCTTGGGGTGATTGCTCCCAGCGCCTCCCCAGCCCCGGGGTACTCCCAGCTTTCCACACCTCACAGGCAGTCTTGCGAGCATCTGAAGGAAGCAATGAGAAAACTGCACACCAGGTTTCAGGAGGGAAGCTTCCACCCCAAAAGTGAACTCCTAACGAAAATGTCTCAGCACCCTCCTCCGCTGCCCTTGGCACTTCTTAATCAGAGCTAAGGCAGCCCTCCCCCTACCCCGGCAGAACAGGGTGTGGGCAGTGCCACAGTCCTGCCACAGGGTGGCGCCCAAAGAAAAGCCAAGTTGGGGACGGGAGAGGAGAGTCACCCTGTTGGCAGCGTCCACTTTGGCGCAGACAGCATCCATGGCCGCTCGCTCCTCCAGCCGCTTCTGCTTCTTCTCCTTTGCCTTGCTGGACTTTCTCTGTAACAAGGTAAAGCGGTGTCACTAGACCTTTCCCGCCCTGGGCAGTCCTGGCAGTGCTGACACCCCTGCAGCAGGCTGGCCCAGCAGTGAGCTTGCTCGATCGGCCGCTCCCCCCTCAGGAGAAGCCCCCATCTTCAGGCCCTTTTGGGGGCCTTTCTGGGATCTGAGGGAGCCCTCAAAAGCTGTTCCTTTAAAGTATCTTCTGACTCCAAGAGACACCGACCCAGCCCCAGGAAGCTGGGTCTCATTTCTACATGAGGACCAGGGGCCACTTCCCAGAAGCTCTGGTCAGCAAGTCAACACGTGGCAGGCACAGTGCACTTGTCTGTGGACAAGGACAGTGAAGGGCCCACGGCTTCACCTTTGGGCACAGGTGCCACACGGTCAGCAAGACCAAGCTGCAGCAGGGAGGGGCAAAGGCAAACTGCCCCTTGCATCTGACCTGACCCCATCTAAGGCTAATGTAGAGCTCTCTCGAGCTTGTTTCCCTCTGGTAACAAGCTGAACACACAGGCAAAGAGACAGGCCTGGAGCCTCACAGAGTCGTCAAACTGCTTTGGGCAAAGGGTTGCGGTGGTCTCATACTGGAGCTCAGGCAGATCTCAAACTCAACAGGAATCCTCCTGCCTCAGCATCCCACGTGCTGGGATTACAGGTGTGAGCCCCCACTCCCCACTCACAGCTTCTCATCAGCCTCTTTCTATCCTTTCCCTGTCCAGTCCTACAACAAGGGAGTGCTTCTCTGAGCCTCCTCCTGATCTGAGAGTGAGGCTTCCAATCCGCTCAGTGGTATTACCACGAAGTTACAGACCCCTGTTCAGTGAGTGGCAGTTCCTGTTCTCCCCCCCAGGGAGGATCAGGCAGCAAAGGCAGGAAGAGGCACTGGCCCACCCAGCCCAAGCGCCCCCAAGGTCCAGGTCAGCATCGCTCTGATTCTTGCCCTCCTCTCCTACAGCTCACACTAGAGAGTGGTCAAACAACCCCAATAACAACGTGACCCTGAGCCACACGAATTGAAAACCAGCTATTGGACAAGTTCCTTAGTATGACTCCAGCCTGGATGTTCTGAGGAACTACACTCCTGTTTCACACAAACAGAAGGTAAAAGAATTAAAGACACTAACTCACAGCCATTGCAGGCACCAGCACGCATCTCCACACACTGAACTGGAAGCCAGGCTAGCTCCCATGATTCCTGTCCCTATAGGAAGACACATGCAAAAGAGACTAGGTTTCTGTTTGTCTTTGTGCTACTGGGGATGGAAAAAAGGGTCTTGTGCATGCCAAGCAAATGCTCCAATCGGCTGTACTTCTGCCTCCACAGAGCTGCAGGCGGGACAGCCCCAGGCCCTCTCTACTGTATATACAGCATCCATTTTTTTTCCTCTGGGAATTCCGGTGGCTCAAAGTACTTCCACACAGATATAGTCCAACTCTCAGGGTGGAAGCCATCACCTCCATTTACACATCAGGGAATCAAGATTCAGTGGGACAGCATGAGTTCCCCGGGGCAGCAAGTGGCCAAAGGGGGTCAGGCCACGGACACAGTGTTTGTTCCATGGGCCCACCTGTCTGCCGGTGGGAGAACCACATCTAGGCTTCCACTCAGTCACCAAACAAAGCCCTCCTGACACCCTGCAGAGATAAAGCCTGGGGCCTCAGGTGCCCTGGAGCAGCCATGGCTCATTTCTGGCTGCCCACCTACCTGGGAGCCCCTTTCCAACACAATGCCACCCCACGCCCTAGCCTCCATGCCACGGCAGAGGCAGGGAAAGGGAAAGCCCAGACCAAAGTCTCCAGAGCTACACAGTACGACAGAAGAAGCATGAGCTTTTGCATCAAGCAGACCAGGCCATGCCCCTCCTGCTGCCCCCACAGGACCATGAAACCATCTCCAGGGAGACTAAGATGCAAGCGTGGCCTCAGGAAAGCACTGTGAGAAGGCGTGAGAAGCTAGCACACCTTCACAGAAACAAACCCTTCCTCCACCCAGCAGCCTGTTCATGCAGGGGAACAGGAGAGCTGGGCAACCCTCAAGACAAGGCCTAAGGCTACCGCCTCAGGACGCTGAGCTTACCAGCACCCCTTCAGCCCGCACCCCTTCAAGCCCCTGGCAGCCAGCTCGAGATAAGGGTGAAGGCAGGCTGGGCCACACAGGCAGGGCCCCTCCTCAACCCCAGCAAGCACCAGAAGAGCAGTTACTGGTCTCCTACTGTTCCAATTAGCAGCCTTGTGGAGGTAAGGCTGTCCTGCAGGGACATGGGGAAAACTTGCCTAATTAAAATGGGAAATAAAGGCGTGAACAGTACAACTCACTGTGGTTAAGTGTCTTTCCCAAGGGAGCTTTATATAATAAAAAGAGTATGGGCTTTTTGAGTCAAAAGACCTGGATTTGATTCTCAGCTCTTTCACTTAATAGCTGTGACTCTGGCCACGTTACTGAAAACCTTTTGGCAAGTTTGTCTGTCTGAACCTTAGTTTCTTCACATGTAAAATGGTGCTAACAAGACCTACAGCCAATAGTCAAGGGACTGCTATGCAGCAAAACGATACTATGTTCTGGATACAAAAACTTTTTGGCTTTTTTGCTGTGCTAGGAGTCAACCAAAGGCCTGGTGCATGACAGGAAAACACACTACCACTATGTCTCCAGCTTTAGAAATAGCTTTTGTTGGGCTGGAGAGATGGCTCAGCAGTTAAGAACACTGACTGTTCTTGCAGAAGACCCGGTTGGAATCCCAGCACCCACATGGCAGCTAATAGCTGTCTGTGACTCCAGTTCCAGGGGATCTGACAGCCTCTTCTGTCCTCCGCAGGCAATGCATGACACGGGTGCCCTTTCCTACATGCAGGCATAACACTCATACACATAAAATAAAAATAACAAAGCTGGGCATGGTGGCGCACGCCTTTAATCCCAGCACTTGGGAGGCAGAGGAAGGCAGATCTCTGTGAGTTCAAGGCCAGCCTGGTCTACACAGTGAGTTCCAGGACAGCTGCGGCTACAATAAAAGTAATAGAATATTTTTTTAAAAGAAATGGCTTTTGTTTACAGGGACCCACTAGTGTCAGGCACTCTGCCAGTGGTTTTTTCCTTTTTAAAGATTTATTTTTAATTGTGTGTGTGTGTGTGTGTGTAGGTATGTGCACATAAATGCTGGCACCCTCAGAGCCAGGGGCGTAAGACCCTCCTAGAGCTGGAGTTACAGATAGCTGTCATCCACCTAGATGGGTGGTGGGAACTGAGCTTCGAGTCATCTCTTAACCACTGAACCATCTCTCTAGCTGCCCTCCTCCCCTTTTTTGAGACAGGTTTTCTTGCAGCCCAAGCTGTTCCCAAACTTGCCTATGTAGCTGAAGATGACCTTGAACTCTTCTGCTTTTCCTGCCTCTACTTTTTGAGTGCTTGGATTAAGGCTTGTGTTACCACACTGAGTTTATGTGGTGCTGGGGATGGAACCCAGAGCTTCAAGCATGCTGGGCAGGCACCCGTCCCAACAGCTACATCCCCAGCTCTCGGCAGTGCTTTTAGAGAATGTGTTTCACAACAGTTCAGCAGGGTTTTTACATGGACTTCTTTAATGAGAAATCCAAGGCCTAGAGAAGCCAAGTCACAGAGCCGGCAAACAGAGTTCTCAGAGGTCTAATCAGACCCCACTGGACTCTGTTCCAGCAGGCAGGGGTTATCTGCTTTCTTGGCCAGTGGATACCCAGTGCTCACACACAGGAGGCACACAGTTCCTATCTGTTCAATGAATCACCCAAGTTTTAAATTCAGGCTTGAACCCTAAGTCTGCACTCCTCCCACCACATCTCTGGGGGCTCTTGTTATGATTGCTATATAAATACTGTTTTTATATGCAGCCGCGAAACTCTACTATTCTTGTCAAAGCACTAGCTCTACATACAGTTCTAAGACTCACAAACCACCCAGATGAGAACAGCCCCCCCCCACAGAGATCTAACATCCCTTAGATTTCAGCGTCTATACCTCTGTCCTACACTGTATTCAGGATTGAAAAGAACCTGGTTTGGCTGAAGTTCTACCTCCTAAACACCACCATGAGCAGAACCTGGGGCAGAACTTGAAGAGGTAGGTGTCCCACCAGAGGACAGCACTCTCCTTCAGCCCCAGATCAGGAGCAGGGAGATCAGAGGGCCCACTAGAATAACTTCCTGCTACCCAGGTGGAACCCGAGCACCCCACTGATGAGGGTAATGAGAGGGTTCCAGCTCTGACTCAGTGAGGGTAATTCAAGTCTCTGTTGCTTTGAGTTTGAGACCAGGAGACACGAGAAAGTATGAGACTGGGACCCAAAGGAAGCAAAGTCCGAGGTATCTGCTAGTTCAGCTCCACCCAGGAGGAAGTGCTGAACCTGAAGGCGTGTTCCTCTTCTTGCTAAAGGCATAGCCTGCAGTGGTTGATTCGGGCCAAAGAGTTACTGAGTAATAGCAGAAACTCGGGTTTCATTTAGATCAAACAACAGCTGGGCTCTGTGAGCTTTCACTGAAATCTAGGTTAAATATGCCAAGGTCCCCAAGCTTGATTTTCTACATATGAGGTAAACAGTAGTCAGAAATCCTGCTTGAACCACAAGGAATGCTTTGAAGTGTTTTCAATGCTGGAGATTGAACCCAGCACCTCACATATGCTAAGCACACTCTACCACCGAGCTACATGCCCGGCATCTGTACTGTCAAGGATCACCAAAAAGTGTTCTGACCTAAACTAGATGACTATTTTTGTCTAACAAGTTGATTTGTTCAGTCAATAAACATTTGAGTGTTAGGGAAAAAAAATCTAGGTTAGTGACAGTAAGGACAAACCCCAGGGTTAAAAATAGCACCAATCTATTTTAGATCACTAAAGTGAGTCTGAGAAAACGGCGAAAGTGCGGCCGCTGCTTATGAGACACTAGTTGGCGATTTACATCTCGTTTAATGGTCACCACTATCTTTTTTTTTTTTTTTTTTTTTTTTTTTTTTTTTTTTTTCCCTGTAGCCCCAGCTGTCCTGGAACTCACTATGTAGACCAGGCTGGCCTTGAACTCACAGAGATCTGCCTGCCTCTGCCTCCCAAGTGCTGGCACCTGGCTTCTTCATCACTATCTCAAGGGGAAGGTAAGGTCCGTGTGCATTACACAGGTGAAGAAAATAAAATCCAAAAAGGCCTGGTCACTGGCACAGTGTCCGTGCTGGTGGCCACCGAAGATGGGGGTGGGGGCAGACACACGTGCCTCTGGCTCAGAAGTCAGGGTGAAACTTCCACACAAATGGAAATAAGCAGGACTGGTGAGGACCAGTTATGTTTAGGAGGATGAACTCACAGAGAACGCACAGAAACATGAAACTGCGTGTAGACAAACACATACTGGGAAAGGACATTAACGTGCATCTGGGCCATCAACAGAGGTCAGGTGATGCGAGGCTGGCACCCATCCTCCCTCCATCACTGCCCCTCCACCCCAAAGCCACCTGCACGACCAGACTAAGAACCATCATCCAACTTCTAAGATGCACAAGCCCTTCTGCACTTCACTGCAGCCAGGGTCTGGGCGGGGGCAGCCGGAAGCCGGTAGCGACGTTTCTGAAGTGCAGGGGAACCGGCGGGACTGAGGCTTGAGTATCCGGAGACGTGAGACAGGGTCCAGCGTCCCCCACGGCCGGTGTGACCTTGGCCGCGCGCCTTTACTCCGGGCCTCAGTTCCCTCCAAGCCGGGGTTGCAGGAAGCCGCGGGAACGCTGACAGCTGGATGATGGGTGACCCCCGAGGTTCAGGGAGCTAACCTCGAACAGCGGCAGGACTCGGGAGTGGAGGGTGCAGCCAGGGGTCAGCGAGGCAGGAAGGGACACGAGGGGCGCGGAGCACCGAGGGGAGGGCAGCAGGGGCTCCCTGGGGACTCCAGGGCTGGGCTCAACGTGAGGACCCTACAATGGGGGGGTCGGATCCTGTGGGGACCAGGGGTCACGTGAGGGGGGTTCAAAGCACAAAGCGGGCACCGGGAATACAGGGGTGGCTGCGGTCCCTGCTTCACTTACCCCCATGGTAACGGCGGCGGCAGCGACCCTCGACTGCTCCTTCCCGCACTTGCCGGTTGGGAGGCGGCAACGGCGGCGGCTGAGGCAGGCAGGGACAGCGGAGCGGCGGGCCGTGCACTGCGCATGCGCCTCGCGGCTCCCCCGCGCGCCCTGGCGGTCCCCGCGCCGGCGCAGAACCGGACAGGGTGGGCGGCCCCCGCCAAGGCGCGCAGGTAGAGCGCCCGCCGGACCAGCCGAGGGTCTGAGACTAGAAAGGCGGGAGGCGCGGCGGAGCGTCGCGCCGGGAATGACGTCAGGCCGGGCCCCGCCCCCTCGCCACCCCCTCGCCGGGCTGCGTCTGTAGCTATGGCAACGACCACGCGGAGCCGGGCAGCGCGAAGCCCTAAGCCGCGCGCCTCCCCGTGGCCGGGTGCGCGGCCCCGCCGACCGGCAGCCGTGTTTGCCGCGTACAGGCGCAGCCGGGCTTTGCAAGCGTTCCTGCCTTCTGGGTACTGACCCTGGGATTCCTGCTCTAAGCTGCTGCACTCATTCGCTCTCTCCATTCTCTAAGCATTTACGAGCATCTACGCGCTGCTGCGCCCAGGGGACGACGGAGCACGAAGTTAGTGCAGCCCAAAACTTCGCTGGTCACCGAGGAAGTGGGCGCGTAATGAGTGTGCAAGAGTTGTTTGAAAGGCTGCTGTTAAAATGAGACCTCAGGCGTCCCGGGTCGAGTGGAGAGTGTGACCCCACATGACCTGAATGCACGTCTCTTGGGCACCTAGCCCTGGAATCTCTTGGGGGGGGGGGCTACCAGAGAGTCTTGGCTTTCTTGTAAGTTTTGGTGTGTTGAGCTTTTTTTAGATCCTCCCCGCCACCCTAGGGCTTCACACAGGCTGTCTGAGCTCTGTACTGAGGTACAACGCCAAACTCAGAGTCCTCCCCATGCTCCCCAATTAGAGACAGGTATATACAACATATGAGAACCCATTGCTCAAGTCTTGCATTTTATGGATTTTGCAGATTTTGGTCATTATCCCATGTTCATTGCTCAGCGAAGTTGTAGCCCTGGCAACATTCGTTGAGAAAGTGCCTGTTGCACACTGCTCGCCATGCTCTGTTGTAGGCAGCAAAGAGAACACCACCAGGCTGGGTGTAAGGGCTCCCACCTGTGATCCCAGCACTGGAAAAACAGAGGAAGGAGAATCGGAAAGCCTGAGGGCAGCCTGCTCTACATAGCAAATACCAGGCAAGCCAGGGCTACATATTGAAATCCTGTTTGAATAAAAGAGAAAAGGATGTAGAGAGAAGAGAGGAGTCTGGCCTGGTTGCACACGCTACTTTAATCCCAGCACTCCGAGGGCAGAGGCAGGTAAATCTCTGAGTTCCAGGCCAACCTAGTCTATACGACGAGACCATTTCATAATATAAAGGAAAAGGAGCCAGGCGTGGTGGCACACGCCTTTAATCCCAGCACTTGAGAGGCAGAGGCAGGCAGAGCTCTGTGAGTTTGAGGCTAGCCTGGTCTACATACACAGTTCTAAGCCAGCTGGTGCTACAGGAAGACCCTGTCTCAAAAAGACAAAAAAAAGAGGGGGAGGGAAACAGCATCAAACAGAAAAGGCACAGTCCGTGTTTTCTAGAAGGAGGCAGATAATAAACCGAATAAATGAGTAATATACACAGAACACACACACACACACACACACACATATGAAACCTGGGTTCTATGAAGGAAAATAACACAGGCTAGGGAAGGTCAGGATTTCTAGCTCTAACTAGGATGCTCAGGGAAGGTGAATGAAGTGAAGTGAAGCCAGGAAGTGAAGGGGCTGAAACAGCATGACATGAGGCCTTCTCCCAGGCAGAGGGTCAGAAGAGCCCAAGACATCTTCCCCCAGGTGTGGGCATGACTGACACTGCAGCAGGAGGGCACACAGGCCCTGGAGGGAGGGTAGTAAGAGGTGGACTCGGACGGGTAAGAGAGGATGCCTTAGAGCTTGTAGGTTTGGAAAGCCTTGGCGAATCAGTGAAGGCACTGTTGGAAAGTTTGCATGGAGAAGCCCCCCACCAACTGGCCTGGGTGTTCTGAGAGGTCCACTGGATGGCTGATTTGACAAGGAGGTGTAGAGGCAAGGCTGCAGGAACAATGGTCAGTGCTATGTTGGAGGCAAGGATGGAGTCGTCCCCGATTAGCTAGCAGTGGGGTAGAAGACCAGGAGACAAGATTGATGGCAGAGCCAGTGGGACTTGCCGGCAGATTGGATATGAGGCTTGATGGAAAGAGATCAAGATCCCCTCACAGGGCGGAGCAGGGTGAGGAGGACTCAGAATTCTGTTTTAGATGGTATTTGAAGCCACCAAGGGATGTTGGTGAATCTTCAACCTACTCTTGTATTGAGATCAGAAAATAGCATGGTTGCTAGCACTCTGGGGACCAGGAGAGGGAGCTAAGGGCACAAAGGTGGCCAAGGAGGGGGGATAGAGGATAGGGGACATCTGAGGTAGCTCTTTAAGGAGGAGGCATGAGAACCCAACAATACGGTCTTTGTAGAGAAGCCTCAGTAGAGGGGTAAAGGGGATCGAGGCTCTAGTCCAACCCATAATGCTGTTTGGCTTTTCTCCTCTCCTTCCCCGCACTGAGCTTTGTGGTCAGCTGTCTGAGTAAGGATACAGCCACCATGCTCCTCTTGAGCCCTGTCTCTCCCTTCTGCCAACACTGGTTCACCCTCTGCCAAGCTGCTGGAATTTTCTTCTTTTGGGGTTTTGTAGTGTTGGGGCTTGAAGCCAGGGTATTGCTAGACAAGTGCTAGGTATACTAGACAAGTGCTTTGCCACTGAGCTATACACCCACTGTCTTGACCTCTCTGTCTTGCCAAAAGGAGTCCAGACAAGGCTTGGGAGGGGAACACAATAGTCCCTTTGGGAGAGGACATCCAGCCCTTCCCCAACCTCCTGGAAGTCTGAGAAGGCCCAGTACCCTATTCCTGCCCCTTAGGCAGCATCCTCCCTGGAGCTGTCCTTCCCCAGCTCAAGGCTCCTGTGGTCTGTAGGATGCTGTGAAGAGCTTGTGGTAGGACAGCCTGGCATTAAATCCTCCCTACTACTTAACCAGTTTTGTTACTATCCCTGAGCCTCAATTTCTTTACTTGGAAATGAGACCATTAAAAGCAATCCTCTTTTCCCTGGGGTGATCATGAGAGTGAAGAGATAAGATAGATACAGGACCTGACCTGCCTCTGCCTCCCAAGTGCTGGGACTAAAAGCATGTGCCACCATACCCAGCCTACACCTCCCCATTTTAAGGAGGATTTCTATGGACATTTACCCACTGCCTGTAGGCAGAGGGCTGAGGAACCCTATGCTGGATAGCTTTAGTGCCAACTTGACATACCTGGGTTAAGGGAGCCTCAATTGGGGAATTTCTTCCATTGGACTGGCCTGTGGCCATGTCTGTGGGACAATAGCAAGTCAATTTTCCTGATGGTTGAGTGATGTGGGAGGGCCCAGCCCACTGTGGGTGGTGCCACCCCTGGGCAGATGGTTCTGTGTTGTATAAGAAAGCAGGCTAGGGGCTAGAAAGATGGCTCAGTGGTTAAGAACACTGGTTGTTTTTGCAGAAGACTGGGTTCAAATCCTAGCACCCACATGACAGCTAACAACTGTCCCTAACTCCAGTCTCAGGGGAGCCTCATCTGACCTCTGCTGGCATTGCATGACACAGGTGCACTTACCTACATGCAGGCAATACGCACATACACATAAAAATAATAAAGAAAAATTGAAAGAAAGAAAGAAAAGGAAAAAAGGAAAGAAAGAAAAAGAAAGAAAGAAAGAAAGAAAGAAAGAGCAGGCTGAGCAGGGGCCAGGAGAACAAGCCAGGAAGCAGCCTTCCTCCATGGCCTGTGCTCCAGCTCCTGCCTCCAGGTTCCTGCCCTGAGTTCCTACCTTGGGCTCCCTATGAACTGTGACCTGGGAGATGTAAATTGATTAAACCCTTTCCTCCCCAAGTTGACATTGGACAGAGTGTTTTGTCACAGCAATGGAGGAAAAAATCTAGAACAAAGCCCTTCTCCACTCCCTCTCTGACTTTATGGACCCATAGGGACATTAATCCCTGGTCTTCTCCAGGTCTAGATGATCACCTGCAGCTCCTCCCACTTGCGCCCCAGGTGACCACCCCCCATTTTTTTCTTTTCTTGAGACAAACTAATGTAGTCCAATCTGAGTTCAGATTTGCCATGGAGCCCAGGCTGGTCTTAAACTTCTCTTCCTCCTGCCTCTGCCTCTCAAGTGTTGGGATTTCAGGGTGTGCCCGCACACCTGGCTTCTCTTCCTCCACTTTGCTCTGACTCAGCCACTCCTCCAAACATCTCACTGCGCTGCCCTCTACTACCTCCAAGTGCTCATTCATTCTGCTGAGGGAACAATGGAGGGAAAGGGGTGTGTAGAAATGGCGGTTCCTACCTATAAGGGAGGGATGGGGGCGTACAGTGCTTCCATGGGGATATGGTGAGGTGTGGAAGGGCAGCCATCACACTGCACAAAGCTGGCAGGAGAGAGTCCCTTGACTTCCCATGGAGATTCTGAATATAGCCTCCCCCACTCCCATTACCCCAGGTTAGGCGCCCCACTGGGCCTCATCCCTAAAGACCCTCCTGGGATTCCTTCCCTGGCTTCCCTCAGCTCAGTTCCCTCCTGGCTCCTGAGCACCCTAGGCTTCCCCCTGTAGGACTGTCAGATCCCCTGGGACTTGAGAGTTATGGACAGTTGTTAGCTGCCATGTGGGTGCTGGGATTTGAACCCGGGTCTTCTGCAAGAACAGTGTTCCTGACCACTGCGCTCTCTCTCCAGCCCCCTCTGCACTGCAGTTTCATCTACAGCAGCTGTGCTTCCTCTCGCTTCTGGCCCTCCCTGTAACATCTTGTAACTCTGCACCTCCCTTTCCTCCTTTTTTTTTTTTTTTTTGGACAGCACACAGCTGCCTGGGTCAGTTAAAAGCCTGTAAGGGAAACTGCCTGTGCGTGCCTTTAATGCCAGACCTGGGAGGCTGAGGCAGGAGGATGGTGAATTCTAGGTTAGCCTAGCTACACAGTGAATCCCTGTCTTTCGTAGTCAGCCCTCCCTTCACATTACAGGTCAGGAGCATGGCCCCTTCTCGTTTTTGTTTGGTTTTGGTACTTGGGTTTATGGCTGTTGTTGTGTTTGTTTATGTTTTGTTTTGTGACAGTGTCTCCCTGTAGCTCCAGCTGGCCTGGAACTCACTATGTAGACCAGGCTGGCCTGACTGGCC